GATGAGGATCATAAGACCTAAGAAGCAAAATTCAAATATAAATTTTCCTGAAAAGTATGCGAATAAAGCACCAGGAAGAAAAGATGGAGATATACATTAATTCATCCCTTACTATTGAAGAGAAAGAAGTACACCATTTCTTCCAAATTCAATTTCTCTTATATCTCATCAGTCATCAGCTGTCTCATGGCTGCTTTTACTGCTAAATGGGCATCATGTCCCCCAGTTTGACTTAAGACTTGTACCCTAAAGACATGTAATATATTATCTCAAGCATGTCAGCCATAATAGCGGTAGACATCAGTGCTAATGCATGACTGAATTCTCAAAAGGCTGTGATCGTGACAACCCCACCTTGGCCCTTGAACCACTGCAATGATTGGCACTTCATACAGGTATCAACTATTGGAAATAATAGTTTGGACTGTCACTCTTAGCATTCATTGAAAAAAAAAAACCTGTATGTAGGAGGAAGATATGTGATCACCTACTGGAGGAGTTCTTTTCTCTTCATCATGATTGATTTGGTGCCACAGATGCAGATTTCAGTTGACCAACATGCAAGAGGAAGTGAATCTCATTTTCTTGCAATGCTTGCGCATTTCTCTCAGAAGGGTCAGTGTCCAAAGTAGAGCACATCAAAATTCTGACCAACAGTGGCAAATTATTTCTGCATCTGTTGATCCATTTTTTTCAACCGGTAGAGCAGTTTGTATTCCGCTGAGTGTTGTGAGCCTGGGAAAATGCATAAGGGATGAAGGACCTATATATATTTCACACTTTTAAACATTGCTTCAGATATTCAGCTTACTTGCTTTCTCTGCTTCTTGGCGATACAATTTTAACTTCTAACAGAGGGGGATCAAGAGCTCTTTCTTAAACCATAGGATATAAGCATGGGCAATGCATGGATCAGGGAAATATCAAGTACAAATCTTCACATCCTACTCACCATGTTCCTTTTCTGATGGAAGAATTCAGCTAGATCTTCATCTCATAATCATCACACTTGTCTCAGAGCCTACACCTGTTGCTTCATCCCCATTACAATCACTGCTTTCTTCGCTTAGTTCATCTTCCCAGAAGGTCTCCTTTTCTTTCCTGCCTCTGGCATTCAGTCCCATCACCTGCAACCTCTTTACATAACTACCGGACGAACTTCCTGCTTCCACTGACAGATTCTTCTCAGGATTAACCGCAGATGAAGCCCTAGGTCTCTTCAATCCCTAGTAGCATATGACATTGAATCAACGTTGATTCAACTTCCGGATCTTGAATCAACGCTGTTTCAATGTTATATGCTGCTGGGAAGTTGCTAGCTTCTGGATGAATTTGTGCCTATCATCGATATCTGAGCCTAGGTCGTTAGTGACCAGTGCCTGGGGCAGCTTCTTTTTAGCATTCTCATAAGACTCTATGGAAAATCAAGGAGATGTATTACTCAGAGCAGATACAACAAATCATTTTGATCATTTGATATTATGTAAAAAAATAGAGGCCGTATACTTGGAGGATATGGACTGCATATAAACTCCAGTCTTTTCCTAGGACTCTTTCTTCCTTCACGTATTGTCCAAGACAATTCCATTTCTTCCTAGGAGGAGAGAGGCAGAGCTTATCTTCGATCCATGATATGGGAACAATTTCAGCGATTTCGTCAGCAAATTCGCCATTAGCAAATATGCTGCAATAGCACCTAATTCCATTATCCACAAGGAAAAGAAAAGAAAGGTGTTCCATGTGAACGATGAAAAATCATAGTATTGCATTAGGCTATCTACCCAGTTTAAAATCCCGGCTGGAAACCGCTACATTTTCCAACTGGGCTCCAGCTGGAAATCAGATTGAATTTACCAGCTGGGAATTAGTCTGGAAACATCAAAAAAGTGATCCGATCCAGCTGGTAACCAGCTGGATAGTAGATAGGTTTTGACCAGCTGGAATTCAGCTTGGAAGCAGACATCAATTCCAGCTGGTAACCAGCTGGAAGGCAGATGTGTTTGGCAGACTGAAATTCAGCAAGGAACCAAATGTCTTGTCCAGCTGATAACCAGTTGGCAAATAGAAGCGCTTGACCATCTGGAATGCGGCATGACCATTCATGTTCTTCCATTGCTGTCTTAACATATTTGCTGCTGACCTCGACAGAAGTTAATTTTTAAAAAGAAGCCAAATTCATCATAATTGATTTAAGTCAACTTAGTTCCCAATACCGTTTTTTTTGGTCTTTCAGAAAACAGACGTGACTCAGTTGCCTTATGGTGGTTTAAAGAAAGAACACTACAAATTTTCTTAATTCGTAAAAAAATGCCAAACTAATGTTGGACTGTGAGCTATAGAGGCTGACATTGATGTGTTCATTAAGTACAAATATCATGTTCTTCCATTGCTGTCTTAACATATTTGCTGCTGACCTCGACAGAAGTTAATTTTAAAGAAGAAGCCAAATTCATCATAATTGATTTAAGTCTAATTAGTTCCCGATACCGTTTTTTTTTTGGTCTTTCAGGAAACAGACGTGTCTCAGTTGCCTTATGGTGGTTTAAAGTAAGAACACTACAAATTTTCTTAATTCGTAAAAAAATGCCAAACTAATGTTGGACTGAGAGCTATAGAGGCTGACATTGATGTGTTCATTAAGTACAAATATCATATCTGTTTCGGATTTCTTTGAATTCCACCTTTTTTCAAAGGGCATTTCCATAAAAAAAAATTAGGTCGTGAGGCGTGAGGAGACGCGTGTCTGTTGCACACTGAGGTTAACCACGTCAGATGGTCTTCCGTGGTACAGAGTAGGGAATTAAGGCTAATTCTTTTTCATTAAGAAAAACACGATCATTAAGAAGTTATTTCTTTGAATTCCACCTTTTTTCAAAGGGCATTTCCATAAAAAAAATTAGGTCGTGAGGCGTGAGGAGACGCGTGTCTGTTGCACACTGAGGTTAACCACGTCAGATGGTCTTCCGTGGTACAGAGGTATTAAGGTATTTCCGTGGTATTAAGGCTAATTCTTTTTCATTGAGAAAAACACGATCATTAAGAAGTTTAAAGCACGACTTTTAAGTCCCATGAAAAAAATTACGCTTAACCAGATGTAGACTCATCAAGGTAGTGGCAACGAAACAGGTTCATAAGTAGAGAAATCCAAGTCCAGAAGCTCCCCACACTTGCTGCCCGGTTTCAATTTCATCCCCTGATTTACGATTGAATCATGTCCATGAGCCACCTCGTCCCGCTCGTAAAACGACATTGACCGCCGAAGCCGCGGTCGATCGCTTTATTCTTTGAATCGTCGGGATGAGCATTGATCCATGCACATGATTGGTATCGATGGATTTGACCCCGAATGACCACCGACTCGTTGCCCAAGGTCCTTTAGGCGACGATCGCTTCTTCCTTTTCGCTGGCGCTCGATTTCCAAATCGACCGAGTTTCATTTTGATCGTGCGGCTAAAAGAGACTTTTGCGATATTGCCCCCTTCAGAGTGGCAATATTGCAAAAGTCCCTTTAGCAACCGCCTTCCTCTCCGGATCGACGGCATCCCGCCATGGAGGCACGAGGTCGGCATCGCGCGACAGGAAATTCAAACGTCACGGAAGAGCTCGATCGTGCGCGATCGCATCGATCGGCTTTTGGTTTCTTGCAATTTTTAAAAGTCCTGAAAATTTCATTCGAATAGGAAATAAGCAAACGAAATTGGCTCGGAGCTGTTTTTGCGTTCCGTGCGACGTCAATATGGCCGATTTAATATCGGGGATGGAAGCCATGGATGGAAGCCACGTTTCAGGCCTTCTGAATCACGCTCCAGGCCTTCTGAAGCACGTTGCAGGCCTTCGGTGGAGGCTTTGCACAGAGGAAAGGAAATAATTATTTTGGTCGTAGCTGCGGCGGAATTGAGCTGAATGGTGAGCTGAATGGTGAGCTCATTTCATGCTGTGAATAATCGTGCTTAACTGCTTAATCGTGCTTAACCGTGCTTAATCGTGCTTCATGTTGCCGTGCGTGTGTCCATCGAGGAAGAGGACGTTAATGATGCAGGTCTCTACGATATACGCGGGGAAGCGGTCGTCCCCGATTCTACGACAGCCGATCGATGAACGCGGTAATGCAAGGCAATTCGTCAAAAATTAACGGCCTCGGGTCGATGGAAGCGGAGGCATCGGTGGCGTGTGCGGGGCGAGTCCCCGAGGAAACATCGATCGGGTCGAGGGGGGGCGGGGCGGGGCGGGGGGAGGGGGGGAGAGAGGCGGTTCCTTCGCGTTCGTCGTAGTTGCAAGTTTGTCGCGCTGAGGGGTGGTATCGCTTACCTTCTTACCTTTTTCGCACTGTCGGGTGGTATCGCTTACCGTTCGTGATGTCTGATCCGCTGGAGAAATTGAGGCAACGCTGCCGTCTGCGTGGCGCTGCCGGGGTTATCGGCCTCGGGAGGTACGTCAAAACTTTTTCGCTTCGTGCCATTTTATTTCTCTCTCTCTTTTTTTTATTATTAAACCCGTCGCTTTCTTGAAATTCGTATTCGACCTGGAATTCCAGTTCTCAAGGTACCTGCTAGGAGGGGGGGGGGGGGGGGGGGGGGGGGGGGGGGGGGGTGACGTCATCGGGGTAGTCGAGTGTGGGTGGTGTTGGAGTGAGTTGGGGTCAGAGTGGGTTGATGGTCGGCGGTCGTTGCAGACGACGAGGCGAGACGGGAAAAAAACTGAGCGGAGCGTGGGTTCGAACCCGGGGCCTCCGCGCGACGGGCGGATGCTCTGCCGCTCGGCCACGGCGGAGGGCCACTCGTTTTTCCTCTTGGATTCGGTGGGGTTCGGGCGGCGAGGCGATCTGATGGCGCCGGGCGGGTCGATTGCATCGATTGACTCGTGGGGGGGCTGAGACGGTGAGAGGAGTCGGCCGGCAATAAATAAATAAATAAGTAAATAAACATAATAAATGTGCGCATTGCTCGAGTCGGGAATGAGTCACCATTCGTTCCGGTGAAAAAGCGACTGCATGCGTCGGAATGACGTGCGGGTTCGTCAGATCGAGCGAGGCGAAACTGGGGCGTCGAGGTCGACCGGTGGTAATTGGTATCGGCAAGGTAATTGGTATCGCCAAGGTAATTCGGGAGTGACACTTCGTCGAGATCGTCGAGATGAGCGCGGATGGTCGGTCTGCTCGAAGCAGACCGGCACGAAACTGACGGTCTGCTCCCGGGCGGCATGCCAAAAACCCGTTCGTGCCATTTTATTTCCGAGCATTTTTTTTTTTTTATTTCGATGCGACTGAGTTTGATGTTCCGCGGAAAGGGAGTTCCGCGAGATCGCGAACGGCGTGAAGGACCTCAACTTCAACCAGTTCTACGAGGGGCTCCAGGCGAACGGGTACGACATGTCCGAGGCGGAGGCGAAGGCGGCCTTCGACAAGTTGGATACGAGCAAGACGGGGACGATCGACTACGATGAGTTCCTGGTCAACATGCATGTGAGTTGCACGTTCGCGGGCTAGACGTTCGCGGACTGGACGTTCGCGGGCTAGACGTTCGCGGACTGGACGTTCGCGGGCTAGATGTTTGGGATGACCATTCGTCTTTCCGCAGCCGCCGATGAGCGATAACCGACGCAAACTGGTGGAGCAGGCGTTCAACAAGTTGGACGTGGACGGGACGGGGACCATCACGGCGGACGACCTGAAGAAGTCCCACGACTTCTCCCACAATCCGAAGGTCCTCAGCGGGGAGGAGACGGTGGATCAGCTGCTGTCGAAGCATCTGGCCATGTTCGAGGGGGCTGGGGCCACCGACGGGAAGGTGAGGTCGTGGGGTTTATTCCCTGGTTTTGTTCGGTGACGGTTGTGACGTTTCTGTCGGTCGTCGGTCGAGGGCGGGAGACGATTTCGGGGATGGTACTGGAAGGTACCTAGCAGGTACCTTGAGAACTGGAATTCCAGGTCGAATACGAATTTCAAGAAAGCGACGGGTTTAATAATAAAAAAAAGAGAGAGAGAAAATACACGGAAATCTGGAGCTTTTCACATCGGTTTTTCCCTCAGGTGACGAAGAAGGAGTTCCAAGACTACTACAACGCTCTGAGCGCCTCCATCGACAGCGACGATTACTTCGAGCTCATGATGAAGAACGCATACAAGCTGTAATGCTTGCACGCACGCTTGCACGCGGATGCGATCCTAATGCACGTACACGAAGAGTAATTCACGAACTGCCATTTATGCCTCGATTCGTCTTGTTTCTGTGTGGGGGGGGGGGGTTGTAGAGGGGGCCTGGAGGGAGGGCTGGTGGGTCTCGAAAAATGTGGGCGTTCCTTACGTGTCCGAATGTGAGAGATCCTGATTGTAATCGGACTCGTATTGTTATAGTACCGGTGAGATCCGTAATGAAATATGCGATGATTCGACGACAGGAACAAAAGCGATATTCCGCAATGCCAGACAAACGACTGGGAAAATGGTCCACCCGGGTGGCGAGAGAGGACGGATCACATTCACGCGTATATGCACAGACAACCAGAAAGCCAGAGTCCTCAGTCTACTGGAGGTCCAACTCCGTCCGGATTGGGGGGGAAGGAGGTGAGAGGTGGAGGGAGATGGGAGGTGGGAGGTGGAGGGAGATGGGAGGTGGAGGGGAGGGTGTGACTCCTCCCCCTCTGACGGTCACCGTCTCGAGGCCCACCCTGGCGATTCGGACATCGGCAATTTGGATGAGTGTCATTTCAACTGTTCGATGGGGTGATTGTGCCCAGGTCTAGTGAGAGAGATGAGAACTCGTTACGTAACAAAACGTTACAATACGAAGACGTAACAATACGACGATAATAACCATGATAATAATTGCGTTGCTTCAAAATTTCCGCTCGAGAAGGAAACTATCTTTTATCGTCTGCCCGTCCGTCAAGCGAACAGAGAAGAAACTGTACAGCCGAAAGGAATGGTGAGCGAAGGTTGCGACAAGATCTGGTAGCATATTTGCGACAAGTTTTGGTAGCATATTTGCGACGAGGGGGACTCCAGAGGGCTCGTGGTTTAATTTCACCAAAACGTGAAACACTTTTCAGTTCCGCTTTGACCATTCGAAGGAAACACGAAAAATTTTCTCTTTGAGCTGCACAACCCATTTTCAGAGCCTTCAGAGGGGGAATTCTTTTTGGAATGGTATATTATGGTATATGGTATATTTTTTTTAAAAACCAATTTAATGTTTAGTCTCCCAAACTCTAAAGCTAATGTGTCTACCAACGAGCTAATACGCCAACAAATTAGCTAATGCGTCGCCCAATCCAAGAGCGTCACACCCCACAACCCCCGGTGTCAATATTTATCAGTGTTCATCGATGGGAGCAGAAGAATTGCAAAATAAACAAAATGTTTCACCTTCTGACGGCTTTCAATGCTGAAAACGCGAACTCGCGGAATAATCGCATCTCATCGGCCTCCTTTTTGATCGGGATTGCTTCAAGTGAAGATGACTGTGCTTATGCTCCAAAGCTTATGATCATTAATAAAAAGCGTACATTAATTATAATATACATTAATATAAAGGTTATATGCATTTCAACCCCGAAAATGCGACTAGGTGAAAGTGTTCCATATCATACATGCAGGATTTTCAGTTTCCAGTTGTTCATATCTGTGGGCTTGTCCTTGCAAAAAAAAATGCCTTTTTCTCACCCAATTTTCGGAATGCTGAACTCCATATTTCTGAACCTGTAATTGAAACGAGGGTCTGGTGAATGAATTCTGAGTCACACCAGATTGGAGGAACGAAAGAGACATTATTCCGAGGTCTGTCGATAATCAAACTATACAAAAATAAAAAAGAGGGTTCACCCAGATTCAGTATGGGAAAAGTTGCCCATAGGTGGAAACCTCACTTTACGGACACCCTGCATATATTTTCATCAAGAGTTCAAGAGACTCCCACTAGAGATTTTACACAAGAAATGCCAACACCACCAGGGGAATGCATTCTGATCAGGGGAAAACCCGTCTTTATTCCATACCAACAAACATGAAATTCTTCCATCAGCAGATAGGTCATTTTAAGAACATAGATATTTAATAAATATACTCCTTGCTATGATTGTGACACAAAAGTGCGACACATCTATTGCACCTAGAGACACCTGAAACAAGAATAATCAATCTGCAACAGCTTGGTCCTTATATGGACTGAGGATCAAGGAAGAATAATGCACTACTATGAAAAGATGAGCAAATACAGTCAATTCAAGACATACAGCCCTCCTCACTCATCACCAACTTTCAATTCGATAATGCACCAATATTGGCCATGACCAATGGTGCAGTTAAATTCGACTGTGCCTGTACCCCCAGGAAATGGCAGAAATTAAATAAAACAATTTGATAAAAACAGTTGATGAGATTTGCTACCTTGGGTGCAGCAGAGATCATGCATGAGGGCAATTGCCACCCTGGGGAGAAATGCTCATGTGCAATATACACATTGAGACATCATAATTGGCACCTAAAAAGGGGACAGCATCCTGTAAAAATGGCCAATGCAATGAGCATTGACATTATCAACAGCACATGAACTTTTTTGAGCAGAGGGATGAACATGGAGTAGTTGTCAGATTTCTTGAAAAATTTGATTAAAACAGGGAAAGTGAAAGGAAAAACAGGATTTCCTTCAAACACTTCACAGCAATTCCTTAAATAACAATTTCCTGACATTTTAAAGAGCTTTCATGATTGAAAAATGACAGAGACCAGCTCAGATATTGAAAAAGATACATATGTACACAAACACAAAGACAAATGATGAAATTGGGCTGTGATACCAGATGCATCATGCAATCCTACAGTTCAGTCCCTAAAATCACACAACTCCAGAATAGATTAGAAAGTGATGGAAGGCCTGATGGGTATCACATGTATTTGAATTAAAATTAAATTGCAATTAAACTTAAAGTCATAGATGGAAAAACCAGTCATTTAACTTCACTCTGGTTAGCATGTCCTCTGTTGATATCACAGGAGATGGTAAAATTGTAGAACAGAAGCAATTTAACACCACATATTCACTTTAAAACCAGTTTTATCTGAATTTAAGATTCCCTTTGTAATTATTTGGATACTGGGTAAAAAGTTTTCTGCATTTATCTAATTTAATAGCAGAACAGAATAGCAGAGTAGCAGAACTCTCTGTACCTTTTCAAATATTTATTTTTTGTAAAACAGTTGAGGGTAACATTTCAGCATGCATAACTTGCAAAATTCTCTTAGAATTGAGAAAGACTAATGCTGAACTAAATAGGAAGAATGGCCATTGACATATAATTGCATTCTTGCCCCAAGCTTGCCAGCACATGCATGGGCTCTTTTTATCATGCTTTTGCAAAATGGACTTCAGACAGATGAATATTGCATGGACCAAGTCCCAGCAGTTTGGAAGCGAAAACTTTCTTATAGCAAAATAAATCCTGGGAAACTTGTACTTAGTCCTTTATGAGGGTGAGAATTAGTCCCTTCATCCATGCAGAAGATTTAACTTATGAGCCTCAAAAAACTCAGTTGACTGAAAAAGAGATCCACTCAAATCCTTCTAGGGTCAAGCTTTTTTTTTTTTACATTACTGCTAAAGACAACTTTCTTAACATTTCATAGCAACACTGATCAATGCATATGAATCATAGTGCACTGGATTTTCTAGTAATTCGTGCTTCCCTGCAGAGACATTATGATCTTTTTAGAACCCCATCATTCACATTCCCATTAAGGTAAGAATTGGTATAGAAAATTCTATATTGCTGGGTCAAAAGGGATATATACATCTCACTCTGCTTGTAGCACAAGCCATTAGGTATTGAAATCCTGAAAAAAAAACTCTTAGGAAAGACAATAAGATACAGGAAGCAGAATTAGGGAAGATGATCTAGCTGAGGTCACTCAGCAGGAAGAATTCACATAACAGTCTAAGCTGTACTCTTCTGTAACCCAACTGAGGATAAATGTCCAGCCCATAGGACTTTGGCTAAGAATGGAAGCAAGGAGGACCAAAAGTAAATTATTTTTTTTACAAAACTGTAATGGAGGACATTTTAGTACCATTCAACTTTGTTCAAAGCATGACTAACAGGGCTGGCATAAATTCTATTAAGTGGCAAGAATAGTAAGTGTCAAATACTGGGTATTGTGGCAAAAAACTAAGAAAGGGAAATTTGCCCCTCACTGTAAATGGAACCATAGATCAATTGTTCTTAGCCAGAACTACAGGACACATGAACCACACCACTCCACCATCTCCCTTGGTGGGTCATGAAATGTACAAACACCAGGCAGGAATCCATACCATTGGGGGAGAATGTGGCGGGAGGGGGACCAACAACAAATGGGTGCCTACTGTCTTCATTGGGGCATCAATGAGTGCAATGAATAGTGAGGAAATTCCTAAAACACACACCCAACAGAAAACTTATGCCATTTCTCTAAATGTCAAAATGGACAGCCTGGGTTAAAACTTATCATAAGAAAATAATAAAATCAAAGTACAATGCTTTTGAGGCATTCCAGAGATAAGATCACATCTAAGCATAATTACTAATAATCTCAAAATTGCACTGCATGGGAAATGAATCACTGGATCTTCCCGTGAACAACTACTGCAATATACAAAAGCAGTCCACCATCACAAATGTACAAAAAAAAACAATCCATCACAACCACCTGTTCCCAGACTAGTACCAAGATGTCATGGTTTGGAAGTACTGCTGCTAGCCACTCAAAACATTGAATTGTAGTGGCATTAATGCATTCTTTAGCTAATGAAACAGCAAGTAGATGCATTATGTTTGATTGGAGAATAATATCTTTTCTAAACCTGGTGAGGGAAGCACAATAAAAGGATGACTGACACTGCAAAGGCAATGCTCGCAAGAAATGAATATTGCCCATTTGAAAAAGGATGGGAAGCTGCAGGATAAGTTTGATTCAAGGAGACATGCACAAGATCACTTCAACAGTCTGATCTCATAATGCTGCTCTATGGGAATAAAGCTTATTTAGTACATGGATTACCTTTGGTATACATGATACATTTAATTCCAGTTGGTGCAAAAACCTCTTCACTCTAATCTGTGTTTTATTTTATATTCTGTAACTTCCTTTCTATTAGAAGACACCATGCTGGAACCTTAGTTGCACGAAAAGCCACAAGGTCCTGATGAGCTCCATTGGCACATTCAGGATTCCACAAAATCTTTCTTAACTCAACATCATCATTGACCATGGCAACTAAATAGAAATCTATTACCCACCTTGTGAGAATGGGGTTCACAGGAGGACATGTTCTTCAAACAATTGAAGCCTAATTAACCCCGATAAAATGAACCTCATAAATAATTCAGTTAATTAACTTAAGCAAATTGGTGACCCAACTTTGAACTTGCTTGCATGAAGGTTACAATCATGATTAGAATATATCTCCAAAACATTACTAGGAAGATTACGAGTATTAAATCCTATCACCGATGAATAAATATTCATAAATATGGAATCTACAAATCATTCAGATATATAAAATTTTTGATAAAAAACATGAGCATTTTTCAAATGCTTTGGCAATGTAGACCCTCTGGAAGGTTGGTACGTCCAAGCAGATATCGATGGACAGCATAGAAGTGGCACGTTGATGCTGCAACGACGTGCACATGCCAGATTGCATGTGCAAATGGGATCTTACCATCAGAGCGGAAGAATCCCACTCCAACGATGTACAGCAACCCCCCGATAGCCATCTCTATGAATCCTTCCACCTCGTCCTAAAATGCCACAGAAATGACATAAAAATGGGGTTGTGGGAGAGGAACACAATGGTGGTCAACAGGGAAAGTGTACTCACGATGGTGTGCTGAAGGACCAGCCCAGGCAGTGCCCCTACAATCAGGTACAAAGTCACCTCTATCAGCTTGTACTTTTCGTGGAAGATTTGCTGGTAGGTGATGCCCAGGAAGGCTAAGACCCAGATACCCCAAGACAAATGAGTCACCCAAGAATCTCTAGGAAGCTCCAAGAGAAGCACCCATGGGTAGTAGTTGGCAGAAATGAACACGTATATCATTGCACGGTCCATTCGATGACACAAATTCAGTGTCATCCTAGAGAAAGCAAAAGTGTCAATCTTAGGGAAGGACCAAGCTTACATGAGACAGACACAGTGGCATTATGATGAGCAATCTTAAACAATTTTGCTCAATTTTTATAGGTAACAATGTAAGAGGAGGTCCTCTAGTACAGACTTTTTGTTTTTCCTGAACTCAATGGAGTGAAGGCAACAACTAGGGAAGATGGGAAAATAATCTCAGTGGAAAATATTTATTTTTCATTACAAGAAGGTAGCAACCATGTCTAACTGGATGATTAATAGGCAATTTTTCATGACATTTGCAAGGCCAGGCCCTCATGCAACAAAACACAACTATACAAAAAACAAAGGCACCAATTCTAATAGTTGGAAATGGCACCAAAAGCAGAACTGTGAAAGTGAACGGGTGAATATTTATCATTATTTATATATTCATTATTATATATATTAAGATGTTCATCATAAAAAGAGGATTATTAATTAAAAGATAGGTATTTGCAAAAACATGAGATGGGGGACACAATAAGAGGTAAGAATCAACTGATATCACTATGGGAGAGCATGTATCCAAAATTACATAAGAAACCAAAGACAAATGCAAGAGGTAGGATACCAGGAAAAAAATCCTTGAAGAAAAAGAGCATTTCCAAAACTTATTTTACTAGGATTCACAATGGTGGGAGACTTCAGCAAGAAATTTGTTGAAATTGGATAAGATGAAGAGCAAAAAATGTAGGCCAAGGATTAGATGATAGACTCAGGAGACCTGAATAGCAGCACTTATATATTTAGTCCTTGGTGGTTGGTAGACCATAATGTAAAAATAGCTCACAGTGGGGAAATGTTCAATGCATGGATCTGAAAACTCTTCCATCAATATTCCCTTCAGATTCTCCTCACATAATGCCACTGTATATAGAGTTTCGATGACTCACGTATTGAAAGGGATATATTCTGCTAGGTGGTAACAGAAAGAGACTGTAAATAGAAGTATGAGGCTGGCTCCATAAATCTTGGCTGACAAATATTGGCAGGAATTAGCAGCTTTTGCAATTAGCATGTAGCATTCCAATGCAGCTGGAATGATCCATGGCTATGTAAGAAAAGGAAAAGACACATATCAGCACTAAGCCTACTGTCCCATCTTTTATTACTGAGTAAAACTAGGCCTAGTTGCAAGGAAACAGAGATCCACTCACTCCATGTGTGAGCATGTTTGCAATTTGCTCTGGTTTTGTTGGAAGGTATTTTTTTCCTGGGAGTGCCCTTGGATTCATGTATTTCCTGCAGAAGAATAAAAGACTGATTATCATGGGAAAAGGAGGGTTAAACCTTACATATCCCAACACTGAATATATTCTTTTTCAACTCTCAAACAATTGAGCCGAGACCTTAACTAGATGCCAGAATATAACCATGCACTATACCATTGGAAAAAAAATCATTAACAAATATTTTGCCAGCATACTTTAAATAGGGCGACACTTGTAACTTTTCCCAGAAAGAACAGCTGCTCTTCTCAGTGGTCTTGGAAGCTCTGGTTTCAGTTCTCCATTTGCGGGTCAGGTCTAAGCCTACAATCTTCTCCTCAGGAGAAGATGGGCCTAACTGACTCAGATCCAGGTTCCTATGATAGACTACCATTTTCTCTTTTGTATCAGCACAGCCTCTTTTCATAAATGGTAGTCATTTCCCATAGGTACCTACACAGATGGAGGTTTCATCAAGAAAACCATATGAGATTACTGATGATACACTACACAGAGGCCTATACCAGTACATAGACATACATATGATTCATAGCATAAAACCTTTGCAGGTGATCTGAGGCAAAAGAAGATATAGAGGGTACTTATACAGGGTTTCAAATTTGACAGACAAAAACCTTTCCTTTCCATTTGTAAAAATAGGAAAATAAGAGGAACCTTAAAATTTTCAAATATTCCCTACTTAAAAACACAGTTAAAATAGTTAATTTATTATATTCTCACAAAATAATACTATAAATCCACATGATACAGAGAAAGCAGTAAAGAAAGTTTATCATCTTCTTACCCTTGTATGTTTTTACCCTCACTGGGAAGGTTTGGCTTCTGTTGAAACAGGTGAAAATATGTAAGTTCAAAGAATAAAGTTGGATATACAATGTAATAAGAACCAGTAGTATCAATGCCAGGATGTGGGATAAGTGATCACAATTCAAAAAAGAACTCCTTAAAGATTCTAGTGTGGGTTCTGTTCTGTCCAAACTGTTCTGTTTGGGGAATGTGCATCCAAATCCATTTTGGTGGAAGGCAATTGGGAACCAAACTCTCTTGCAGATCTCATGTGGGTCCAGTACTTCTGGCTCTGCTTGAGTGGAAAAGTGAGTTTCAAACTTCCAGAACATTCATGCAAAACTAAGAAATCATCTGGTCATCCACAGGCCAAAAAAGCAGGCATACATTTAGCATTTAGTCATGCTCCTCCAACTTACAGAAATTGTAGGCTACATAAAGAGCTAAGATTGATGCAGGCAGCCTATCAGTATTCTCTGGCCCAATGATTCACCGACAATACGAGCGGTTTTGTTCTTGTCTGACCTTGGAGACTCATAAAAAGAATTAAAAGACGAAAATGTAGAAATAGGTATACCTTCTTTTCGAATGCTCTCCCCCCTTTCTTCACCCTCTTTTTTACCTTCCTTTCAATGAACTTTACGGATGACAAAAAACCCTCAGGAACAATATTCAATTGCAACAAAGACAAAGCATTAACTTGGCCAAACACTGACCTCCATTTCAGGTCTAACGCCACCTTTCCTCAGCCGAAAGAAATCCAACCCTCAAATTAGGCCTACGAATAATCTCATTCGAGTTCCTCGAACCACCGCGACCAGTGAGGGCTGCAGAGACACTGAGCCTCTTGGCTCTGAATGGGGATGGTTCGCTCTCGTAGATGTCGCCTCGAGCAGCGGTCAGCCACGTGAGTGCAGTCTCTCGCTTCAAGCCCAGAGTGCAGTGTCTCGCTCGAAGTTGTGGGCGGCGGAAGCTTCAAGTGCTTATTAGTGCTTATTTGTATGATTGCAGGCCTGAAGACAAGAGTTGGAGGAGACGAAGCGTGGCGCCGATTGCAACTTAATTAGGCTAACTGCCCTTTACCACCTGGCTTCTCTGAATCCCTGCAGCAATTTTTCGCTGGTCTCGTGAGAAGTTAGGTAGCCATTACGTAATTTGTCATTACGTGATTTGACGGACGTGGCACAAGAAGCGTGAGGTGGCTAAACCGCTGCCGGGAGTTCTTAAGCGAATCAATGTAATTAATTCAATTAATCTGCACAAATTACATGAATATAACTCAGTGTGCATTAAAAATACTCCCTACTTCAAACGCTTTACGTAACTTTAATTAATTTGGCTTTATTTAAGTATTTTTTTGCGCTTTAACCCTTTCTGACCTGAATTACGGCCGACATCGGAATAATATATTTTTTGTTGCATTTTTGAGCTTTTCCATGAAGGTAATTGAAAATTTCATGCTTTATATGTAGTTTTCCTATTTTTTTTAAGTTTACCACATCATACCATATATTATATATTAAACCTTTAATTAAAGAACTGAATATGACAAAACTAATGGGTGAACGAAGGCCTCTGATAGAACTGAGCCCATTTCAGCGTAATCTGGGGCGCAAGGTCAGGAGAATCCCAGAGAGATCTCGAAAGTAAAGGTCAAAAGTAAAGGTCTCTCTCTCTCTCCTTTACCTCGGAGACGGTTCGGTTTGCGAAAAAATTTGCCTGAACAAAATTTGCGGTCCAGATTCCGCCCTTGCCAGCAGCATGATTTTTGCTGCCCTTTGTATGCAAAGGACAATGTCTCTACGAAGCACCTTTACTTCTATCATGCCTCTTTCATTTTATCGAGATCAGATTCACGTCCCTCGCCTCGCCCTCTTCCGACGAGATTCTTGGATCTCCCCCGACCCGGCGAGGAGTCGAGATTCCCACCGAAGCGGCGGTCTTTTGAAGACGGAGACCGCTGCCGATCGTCAGTCTGTCGATTTCCAGAATCCAAATCGGGGTCGAACGGCTGGGGACCTTCCGCGAGGTAAAATATCCGAAATAGCTAAATTCGGACTGTCTTTATTCCATTCCGGAAAGGAAAGAGACCTCTTATGATCTGTCCGTCCGTGTCTGTCCGTCCGTGTGTCCGTCCGTGTGTCACACTTTGGTCGTCCGACGATAACTAAAAAAATTTCGGCCTGATTTGGCATTCGGTCACGGAGGAGAAGGCGCTCGTCTCGCTCTTGCGGTTTTTGTGACCAGAATGCGCATGCGCTTACGACTTCCTGAGCGCGGCGCCGTGTCAGCGGCCGGGAGTGCGTCATCAAAGACCTTATACTAAGAAGACTGGACACTGCGCGAAAGCAGGGTAACCGCAATGGCGGTCTATGCCCTGGTGGTTGGCCCGAGAACTAACGTCAGCGCTTCCTGGAGC